CCTCCAACCTATAAGAGCGATGGCCTCCAACCTAAGAGCGATGGCCTTCAACCTACTAGCGATGGCCTCCAACTCCAACTCCAACCTATGAGCGATGGCCTCCAACCCAAGAGCGATGGCCTCCAACCTACTAGTGATGGCCTCCAACCTACAAGAGCGATGGCCTCCAACCTAAGAGCGATGGCCTCCAACCTACAAGAGCCATGGCCTCCAACCTATAAGAGCGATGGCCTCCAACCTATAAGAGCGATGGCCTCCAAGCTAAGAGCGATGGCCTCCAACCTGAGAGCGATGGCCTCCAAGCTAAGAGCGATGACCTCCAAGCTAAGAGGGATGGCCTCCAACCTAAGAGCGATGGCCTCCAACCAAAGAGCGATGGCCTCCAACCTAAGAGCGATGGCCTCCAACCTAAGTGCGATGGCCTCCAACCTAAGTGCGATGGCCTAAGAGCGATGGCCTCCAACCTAAGAGCGATGACCTCCAACCTAAGAGCGATGACCTCCAACCTAATAGTGATGGTCTCCAACCTACAAGAGCGATGGCCTCCAACCTACAAGAGCGATGGCCTCCAACCTAAGAGCGATGGCCTCCAACCTAAGTGCGATGGCCTCCAACCTAAGTGCGATGGCCTCCAACCTAAGAGCGATGGCCTCCAACCTAAGAGCGATGACCTCCAACCTAATAGTGATGACCTCCAACCTAAGAGTGATGGTCTCCAACCTACAAGAGCGATGGCCTCCAACCTAAGAGCGATGGCCTCCAACCTACAAGAGCGATGGCCTCCAACCTACAAGAGCGAAGGCCTCCAACTTATCGATGGCCTCCAACTTATAAGAGCGATGGCCTCCAACTTATAAGAGCGACGGCCTCCAACCTAAGAGCGATGGCCTTCAACCTACTAGCGATGGCCTCCAACTCCAACTCCAGCCTATGAGCGTTGGCCTCCAACCTAAGAGCGATGGCCTCCAACCTACCAGCGATTGCCTCCAACCTAAGGGCCTCCAACCTAAGAGCGATGGCCTCCAACCTAATAGTGATGGCCTCCAACCTATAAGAGCGATGGCCTCCAGCCTAAGAGTGATGGCCTCCAATCTATAAGAGCGCTCCAACTTATCAGAGCGATGGCCTCCAACTTATAAGAGCGATGGCCTCCAACCTAATAGCAATGGCCTCCAACCTAAGAGCGACCGCCTCCAACCTAAGAGCGATGGCCTCCAACCTAAGAGCGATGGGCTCCAACCTAAGAGCGATGGCCTCCAACCTAAAAGCCATGACCTCCAACCTAATAGCGATGGCCTCCAACCTAAGAGCGATGGCCTCCAACAACCTATAAGAGCGATGGCCTCCAACC